CTGCGTCAACATGAATATAATATAAAAGCTAAACGGCTGCAGTAAAACTATTTTCATCCGTCCTCATCTGATGTGATCGAAAAACGAATCTCTTTTTCATGTACTTTCATTCGAAATGAAGGTCCCCCTAACAATGTTATCAAGACTACTCAGGAGAAGGACTTGGAACAAGGTGCGGTCCACTAGGCCAACTGAAAATACGACCAAGTTGCGAAAGTGAGGTCAAACCACTTTTGTACAACGAAAGAATTAAAATTTAATAAAAGAGATGACCGAAATCCTAACGTGCACAACAAATCGAGCCATAGTGCAAAGAGTGATTAGCATTTTCGTCAGAATTCATGTAAAAACATTTTTTTCATCAATCAAGCAGCTTTCCTTTAGCTAAGCCCTATTTGAGAGACCACATCAGTGAGACCTTCCGAATTTACCAACTATAAAGTTGAAGCAATTCCGAAAATCAGCGGAGCTTGAAGATGCCCGGCCTTATGAGTATTAGAAAAATAAATCAACATAGCCTACCATTCTATCTGATGGATTGATTTGTTCCATCAGCAGACTTGTGGGTTGTCTGAGCGAATTGGCATTGCAAGGAGGTGAGGTGGGACTGGGTAAGACCTGACCTGAAGACAGGACTTGTTGGAGTGGGAGATTACGAACGAAATCAGGAGCGCGAAGTAGAGCCTGAGGCTCAGTAGATTCGGGAAGCATTCTGAGGTTACGAAGTGGAGCATCTAAAGTTAAGGAAAAGGAGAATATTCAAAGGGTACCAAATAAAAGGTGGTCGGAAAACAAAGGAACAAATGAGCTCAGAAGAATGGCTGAGCAAGCGTCAGGTTTAATGGGACGAATAGGGGTATGAGTAAAGCGTACCGATACGTATGGATTAAATACATAAAGTTGATGTGTTCGATGGGGGCGGAATGGTCTATATGAGGGAGTTGGCAAAATAACTATTATTGAAATAAAGAAGAATGTAATCATTGGGGAGGATGATTCCTTTAAAGGTATATGGTGATATCAGCACAGCGAATAATAAAAAGTCTTAA